TTTCAAGCCAAATAAAGCTTTTAAATACTACTTAAGAGCAATAAAGATAAGAATTTATAGTTTTAATATAGATATAGAGATTTATCATGTATTTATCATTATACTATAATTTTCATTATTTATTTTTCTATTATATATTGTTTATTTTCATATATTATGTATTTATAGATGTATTATTTTTATGTATAGTATTTATATCACTATCATTATTTATCATTATATCATTTCTCAGTAAGAGATTTATCATGGCTTCAAATACTCATTTCAGCTCCATATTGCTTAATCAACAGGCAAGTTCTCTTGTAATCATCAAGTGGGAAATAAGGATTTCCTGCAGTATTTTGATTTGCTTTCTAGCTAAATAAAGCTTTTAAATGCTACTTAAGAGGAATAAAGGTTGTAAGAATTTATATTTTTAATAGTGCCAGCAGCCAGTGCTTGATGCATATTACAGCAGGTAACTTAGACATTGAGTTGCTGTGTGACAGTTTTTCAAACATGAGCTGTTGTGCCTCTCAGTAAATCAGTATAGATTAGATCACTGTTAGAATTTGTGATTTTCAAAGACTGAAATGCTTTCAGAAGGCAGCAGTGTGAATTGCAGTGAGTCTGTGTGAGCTCCACTGGCACTTCAGGTCTGCACAGACCAATCTCTTCACCTGCAGCTGTGAACAGCAGTTTTAAGAAGATTAAGAACAACTTGAAAGAGAATTCATGCACAGTAATGGATAAAATACTACAACAAAAATATCTTGGGTTCCTTAATTTGAAATTTTTACGGTTCTCATTTTAATTTGTACTAAAGTGATGTGTAGTTTAACACTCTTTTCTTCTGTTTTCATTTAAAGGATTGCCACTTATCTTCAGACAAGATAATGCAAAAACAGATGCAGCTGGTCAGTTTGAGGAGCATGAGCTTGCTAGAAGCCTCAGCCCACTGCTCTTCTGCTATGCTGATAAAGAACAGCCAAACTTGTAAGTAACAAGGGCAATCAGGAGGAGTTGACAAAGATGAAAGTGTTTAGATGACCTGTGAAATGATTGGTTTTTATACTGTGTTGAGCATACTGGGGTCTTAGACATTTCCTACTGAAAGCTCCTTGGTTGGCCAATTCTGTTGTGTCTCAATTTATTCCAAATTTTAATTTTTATTTCAAACATAAAAGACATACAAATGCTGTCATGATTAATCACTCTGGAAATTGCCAAGCTTTTTACAGGACATGGCCATTGCCTCCTTGTTGAAAGGGTTTATGGCAAAATGCAGAATGAGCCACTCAGTAAGAGATTTATCATGGCTTCAAATGCTTCTGCATCCAGCCACAGATGTTCTTTTTCCATCTGTGTCTGTGTTTGATCACCAGCATTGTGCTGTTACCTGATCCTTCATTTAAGTGACCAAACCTTTGTGTTTTCTTCTTGCCCTCAGTTGTACAATGCGGGTTGGAAAGGGAATCCATCCTGATGGCATGCCTGGCTGGTGCCAGGGCTTCTCCCTGGATGGTGGCAGTGGTGTCAGAGCCCTCAAGGTGATCCAGCATGGGAACAGGCCAGGCCTCATCTACAACATTGGTAGGTGGTGATGGGAACACTGGAAAGCCCTGAGGAGCTCTTGGTGAGATGCAATGGCAGTGACACAAGAAACAGAACAATTGCAGCAGGGAAATGTATCTTCTGAAAGGCTTTTGAGGGTCCAGAGAAAATCATTAAACTAAATATAGTGTTCTAAGTATTTTTATATTTATATATTTTTATATCTTACCAGCTTTCAGTTATTTTTAATTTTACATTTAATCGTTGCGTGTTAATAACTATGTTGTCAAACTGTTCTGTCTGCTTCTGTGTTTTTATTGCCTCTCTATGTTAATTCCAAATCCCATGACATTACTCTGATTATTTTGAGTGTAATTGTTCAGCCATGTGCTGCTTCTCTGGGGTTTGCCTGGTGGTGCCTGCATAGGCTGATGTGCCCGAGTGCAGCTTCTGGATTCCTTGTGCTCCTGGTGCACATAAAGTACAAGCAGGTTTTAGTTTTGAATTAAATGAGAGTCTAGAAGTTACTCTGCAGTGATTGACAAGGAATTTTTTATATGTTTGAAAGTGAAATAATTACGTGATTGGGAATTGGTTTTGGGTTTTTTATCTTCATTTGTCTTCAGTATCTAAGTTGTACTTGAGAAATAGAGGGTAACAGATGGCATAAGATTACATTAACTTTTTAAAATAAAATGATGTTCTAATGCAATGCAGTTGTATGGCACAAAGGCTTCATTTCAGCAGCACAAGAAAGAACTGATGTTCTCTGAAACATACTGTGGGACTGTCTTTTCTTTTGTAAATAATATCTATATTTTCACCTTGATTTTATGACCAGGTATTGATGTTAAAAAAGGCAGAGGCCGTTACATTGACACCTGCATGGTCACCTTTGCTCCCCGGTACCTGCTGGACAATAAATCAAGCTACAAACTGGCCTTTGTCCAGCGGGAGTTTGCCAGAGGGCAGGTAAGAAACCTCCTGGTGGTGACTTTGTAGTCCAGTACTGCCATGGTTTAGGGTAAATTTGGGTGAGAACCTCCAAAGGGGTTCCTCTAGAAAGCAGATTCAGGTGGCTCATCCCTCAGCCAGTTTGGGAAAATATTTCCTTGGAGAAAAGTGGAAAAAACCAGTTTATTTAATAGGCAAAGCATTCACCAGCACAAAAATTAACAATACAAACCAATAAAACCTCTTGCTGCTCCAAAAGAGATGACAAACTCAGAAAGCCCCTCCATGGGCTGTAGCTCAGCTCACTCAGTCTCTTATCAGCCCCTCCAGTGCTGGAAGTGCCACAGCCTAAGCCCAGCCTGGTGGGCTCTAGGTGGGAGCTGCCAGTGCTCAGTCCAGAGCAGGTTTAAACAGCTCCAAAGAAAAAGAAAAACCACAATCCAGGGAACTTCTCTGCCTCAGCTAGCTATAAAAACTAACTAAAAGCAAAGGAGAGCTCTGTCCTGCTGCCTGTCCATGCACAGACACCCAGGAGGAGGAACATGGAAGAGTGAGTGCAGTGTCTGAAAACAACACTCTGCTTCTTCTTCCCCCCTCTTTGCCCTCAGAACCAGTCTTTTAGGGTGCAAAACTCATTTCTGGGCTAAGCAGACCAATGGGGATGCAAACATCATAAAGTCACCCCAGGACTGTATTTAGTGACAGCATCTGTCCACCAACAAGAACACACATTGTTCTTCAAAGTATTGTTGGCTGGTTATGAGGATCTTTCTCATTATTCCAATAGCAGCATCCACCTGACAGAAGAATGGCTGTGTTTGTATTTTAGAGGATTTAGTATTTTAGAAGAAATATTGAATAGTTGTATTTACCAGAGCACAGGAGTACTGTGAAATTTCTTGCTTTATTTTATGAAGCATTGAATGGTTCAAAACAACTGTTGCTTTGAGATGTCATCTATAAATCAACACAGGCCAATGGCAGCAAAGTGATGGATATCCACCCATCTAAGAGAATTGATCATAAGACACAAGCTAAAACAGTGACAAGGCAGAGATAAATGTTTGTGTTCAGATGAACATCTCAAGGTCAGAGTGCCTGGGCATATCAATGAGAAATTTCAGCTAACACTCTAAGAATATTAATCTAGAAATATGTAATAGGAAACTAAAGAAGATGTTGAATTTCAATGACATCTTTTTTGATTGTCTAAGAAAATATTTATAGTATACTAATCACAGAGTTGATTGGAATTTGTTCTGGATTCTTCAGTGCTGGGATTATTTATTAATTATTCCCCAATTTCTTTTCCTAGGGAGCATCCAACCCTGATGGCTACATCTCCACCCTCCCTGGTTCCAGTGTTGTGTTCCACTGGCCACGGAACGATTATGATCAGCTGTTGTGTGTGAGGCTGATGGAAGTCCCAAACTGCATTTGGTCTGGGGGCTTTGAGGTCAACAAGAACAATTCGTTCCACATTAACATGAGGTAGCTGTGACCTGGCAATCCTCTGCAGCTGCTGTGTTTTGATAGAAGCAGCTGTTTAACACTGCAGATAACGCAGATCAGAAGCTGACATGTCTTGTACTGTGATCTTCTCCAGGGACACCCTGGGAAAATGTTACTTTTTAAGAGTAGAAATCACCCTTCAGGGAGCCACGTACCGCGTTGCGTTCAGCGACACCGACCAGCTGCCGCCGCCTTTCCGCATCGACAATTTCTCCAAGGTAAAACAACCAAACCCCATTTTTACCAAAAAAGTAATTCTTCTGTATTTGTTACAAGTGGGAGATGACTAACTTGTGTAATGAAATAAAATGAAAGTATCTGTATTTGTCTGTAGTAATTGTAGTACTTCAGATTTTCTGAAGTTGTAGTAAAAATTGGTAGTAACAACTACATCATCTTTTTCAAATAATAGTGGTGACATTGTGGCTTGCATGAATGCTTTAAGTCTTACAAGGAAGAGAAGCATTATCAATGAGAGGGATGGTATTTAATCTGTTCTAATCTTGTAATTTAGATTAGCAGGGTTTGAGATTTTGCTGACATTTTGCAGACATTTCACACAGTTAAAAGCAAAGATGATATTTATCATCCCTTTATGACTCTCTTTACTTGAGACCTGAATGGAAGAATATGCATATTGAAAATATTGAGGGAGGAAAAAAGAAGTGATCTGAACATGTTTCAGTCATCAGCTCCTGCTGAATGAGCAAATGATAGCAAAAAGTCAGTGTGATCAACAATTCCTGTATGAGCAAACTCCTCTTTGCTGACTGTTGCAGGTCCCAGTTGTGTTCAAGCAGCACGGGGTGGTGGAGCCCAGGCTGTCCACGGATGTGAAGCCCATGACCTCCCTGGATTATGCCTGGGATGAGCCCATCCTGCCTCCCTACATCACCCTGACAGTGAAAGGAGCAGGCTCCTCAGAAGTTATGTGCTGCATGAATGACTTCCAAGACAGCAAACTGCTTTACTATGAGAACTTCATCTATATTGCTGCTACATATACTTTCTCAGGGTAATTCTTGATATCTTTGATGGAAATACTTTTAATGTTCACATTAAGCTTTAGTTAATAATACCAAATTATTATTCTCTTTATGGTTACCATTCAAAAGTTTTTCACATGGAGTTAAACTTTTGTCTACCTTGTAGCTAGCAGAAGAAATGCCAAAATCAGAGGCTATTTGGCTGTTAGTAATTTGTGTGTTTTACCTCATTTGGACATAGTGCCTTTGCTTTAGAGGTGCAGATTGAAAGTTACTCTGTCACACAGTGAGAAGGATTTTTAGCACCTGGCATCTGCTTTGACCCCACTCTGTAGTCTTGGAAGAGTTGGGATGTTTGGGGTGCCCCTCTGGGGACTTAATGCTTTTTGGTGTATGAAGGACACTTTACCTCTTTACCACAAGTCACACCTATTTACAACATTCCTGTGAGGGTCAGGCTTGCACTGGTTTATATGCTACTGAAAACAGCTCTGGGAGGTTGATACAGGGCTTTGTTGCTTTCCTCAAAATGAGATAGGAAACTGTCTTTTAATACATCTGTTTTGCCTGTGATGTTGCTAGTTCCAGTGAGAAATCAAAGCCCCTTTTAAGAATATACTCAGGTTACCAGCTTGCCCTGCTAATTCCTAACAAGAGGTGAAAAACCCCCAGTATAAATGTTAGTGTGATGGACTGTATTGGAAGTGTAAACTTCCAGCTGAATTTTGATGCAGCTCTAATTTGTGCTACAGAAGAAGCTGCTGAGCAAACATGATGCTGTTTTCTTGGTTCCAGGTCACAGGAGCCAAGTGTAAGACCAGTTACTTCAAATAAGGATGCTGCAAATGCAGAGCTTGTCCTCGATGTTTCTCCAAAGACTCAACGAGTTTTGCTGAAAAAGAAGGTACCAGGACAAATTTGATTTTTTTTTAATAATACTGTTGCTATGTGCTGAAGTAAAATCAAATGCTGAGAGTGTAGGACCAGATAAAAAAAAGTTCTAATTTTTAAAGGGACTCCAAACTGATTGGTTATTTTATTTTGAATTGTGGTGGTGCTTCTGTATAAGACTTTTGTAGGAGTAAAGGTAACAGAAAAGGGAACTGGAATGAAGTGCCAAGGAAGGTTGTAAATGCCTCCTAGACAGCAGAATATGGTAGTTGTGTGTTGGATATTCTCATGAAGTTACAAGGTAGGACATGCTTCCTTTTTGGGAGCATTGTAAGTGAAGTCATCTATTTCTGGAGCTCTTAAGAAACAGAAACTGTGTTTAAATATTGCTGAGATTAAACAGCTTTTAAATGCTGCTCTTCATCTAGCTGCTGTTGTGTATTCATTGAATATCAGGGTTCAATCAGGAGCTTTTATCCAATCTAGTTCCTAATTCTAATTCAGGGCTCTGAAGTTAAATACATACAAGTCATTCCAAGAATTATAATTCAAAGCCTCTGATAGCAAAACAGAACAAAAATATTTGCTCTGTACTGTATTTAAAAGTTGAATTTTTCTGTAACAGGAGCCAGGAAAGCGATCCCAGCTCTGGAGGATGACAGACTCAGGAATGCTTTGCCATGAAGGTTCTTCAGTTCCTCACAACCCCCACAAACCCTCCCCTCGCTCTGAGGACTCCAGTATGATTTTGGATATTGCAGGTCTAGCAGCTGTCACTAATAACAGGTATTGAAATGCATACATACATTGGGCACAGTTCATACATTGAAATACATACATTGGATACAGTCCATACATTGAAATACATACATTGAACACAGTTCATACATTAAAATGCATACATTGAATACAGTTCATACATTGAATACAGTTCATATATTGAATACAGATCATACATTGAAATACATGCACTGAAATACAGTTCATACATTGAAATACAGTTCATACATTGAACACAGTTCATACATTGAAATACATACATTGAACACAGTTCATACATTGAATACAGTTCATACATTGAAATGCATACATTGAAATACATACATTGAACACAGTTCATACATTGAATACAGTTCATACATTGAAATGCATACATTGAAATACATGCATTGAACACAGTCCATACATTGAAATACATGCATTGAACTCAGTTCATACTTTGAAATACATACATTGAATACAAAGCATACATTGAAATACATNATTGAACACAGTTCATACATTGAAATACATACATTGAACACAGTTCATACATTGAATACAGTTCATACATTGAAATGCATACATTGAAATACATACATTGAACACAGTCCATACATTGAAATACATGCATTGAACTCAGTTCATACTTTGAAATACATACATTGAATACAAAGCATACATTGAAATACATGCATTGAACTCAGTTCATACTTTGAAATACATACATTGAATACAAAGCATACATTGAAATACATACACTGAACACAGTTCATACATTGAAATACATACTTTGAAATACATGCATTGAACACAGTACATACTTTGAAATACATGCATTGAACACAGTTCATACTTTGAAATACACACATTGAATACAAATCATACATTGAAATACATGCATTGAACACAGTTCATACATTGAAATATGTACATTGAACACAGTTCATACATTGAAATATGTACATTGAGCACAGTTCATACATTGAAATACATACATTGAATGCAGTTCATACATTGAATACAGTTCATACATTGAAATACATACACTGAATACAGTTCCTTGGGAAACTGATGAGGGTTTCTAACAGTGTCTTTGAAAACATGCTTAATCTGATAGTCTCTGAATACAGAAAGAATTGTTCTGAAGGAGTGTGAAAGAGCTGGATTTTGTCTGGTTTTATTAGAAAGTCTCACAGTCACCTGTGTGACTTGTAAAAGCATGGCTGATGCCTTTTCAGCAGGTGACTTTTGACACAGCACTTCAGAAGAGAGATTAAGCAAATTAACTGGGGCAGAGTAAATGTTCAGCATTAGCTCAAGTGCAGAGTAAAGGCTCTGAGGTGCATCCTGTGAGCTCTGAGGCTTCCCCTGCAGGTACGAGCCGCTGATGCTGAGGCGGCCGGACCGGCGGCGCAGCACCACCCAGACGTGGAGCTTCCAGGATGGGAAGCTGACCTGTGGCATCCCTGGCCTTGTTGTCCAGGTCAGTACTGATCATGTGTCAAACCTGTTTTGGTTGTTGCTGATGTAGGTCACAGTCATTTGGGCTTAGTATTGAAGGGAACTAAAATATTTGAGACAAGTTCAGAATACAGAGCGAAACAAACTTGTGCAAGCACCCTGTGTTTTAAGTTTATATTTGAATGTTCTTATTAATTTCAAATTATTAAAGATCTTGCACTAAGAAATTAGAAAAGTATTTTAATTAGTACGATGATATTGCATTGATCATTTACTGCAGGGTAGTAAGTTGCTACTTGAAACAACCAAAACAAGCTCTGCATTGCTGTCTTTAGACAGCAGTAAGTCAGGATTGACTCAGTAAGGATTTACATTCTCATGTACAGGTCCAGAGTTCATCTTTTAAAGGCTTCCTATCATTTTGGAAGGCTTTTCAGGAAGGATTTTCCAATGTCCCTTGATGATGTGATAGCTTCAGTTTTGAAAGTGCAGTGGGAATACTTAATTCCCACTTAATTATCTATTACCTGCCTAATTATCAATTACTTAATTATTGATCTTGGTTGCTCCTTTTATCTGCCAACTAATTAAACACGAGTGAGTAGAAACTTTAGTAATATCAAGTAAAATGGTGCTGGACTGCTCTTCTTTTAGTTCTGAAGAATAAGGAGAGGAAAGTAAAATACCATTTAAAATTATATATGTAAATAGTTATCTGAAATGTTTACCTGTTGCTTAATTACTTAAATTTTCTTTCCTTCCTTTTTTTTCTTTCTCCAGGCAAAGGGTGGAATGCAGGGTCTTCATGATGGAGCTGAAGTTGTTCTAGGTCCTGAAAATTCACTTGAACTTTTGGGGCCAGTTCCACCTGAACAGCAGTTCACAAACCAGAAGATGAGGCCTGGCTCAGGAGTGCTGGCTGTGAGAGTCATCCCAGATGGGCCAACCAGAGTTCTGCAGGTGACAGTCCCTCATTACCTAGAATCTAGTTACAGTCTTTGCTTATACTGGAAATACTCTTTATAAGTATTACATCTTTAAATCCTTATGAAAAGCTGCCTTTATAATGACATGAAGGGGATGGGAGTATCATAAACCAGAAGTAGTTAGTACAAAAGTTTCCTTGTCCTTAATTTTTAAAAAGGATAATTTGCTAAGATAGGGCAGTGTAGCTGCTATTTATATATATGAAAAGGATCATGTAGTAATTTATCATTATATTTATATATGAGAGGGATCACTGCAGTAATTTACTTGTTTTCAGATAACTGATAACTGTAACCAACGTAGAAGTGATCGTTCATTCAGTGAAGGAGAACAGCTTCCAGTTTCTGACCAAGATCTGCGCAAGTTGAAAAATCCAGATACAGAGCAGGAATTGGAAGTAAGATATGACAAACAGTACTTGTCTTTTTTATTTTAATTTTCCTTTCTAGATTTCAGAAGGGGGATGATGGTCAATAGCCTTTCCTTGTGTTATGAACTTTAGATTTTCCTGCTACAGCTTCTTGTTCTTAGAATTTGGGTTAATATGTCTTAACCCTCCTGAGTCTAAGACTGATTGTTAAAGAGCTGCTCAGTCTCTCTGGAGGTGATCCCAAAAAATAATTTCCTTGCAAAACTGTGTATGTGGTATCACAGGTTTTTTCAGTGCTGCTCTGTTAGTGGTGGGTTTTTCCCCCTTCTTTTCTCAGGTGCTTGTGAAACTGGAAGGTGGAATAGGATTGTCTTTGGTCAACAAAGTCCCTGAAGAGCTCGTGTTTGCAAGCCTCACCAACATTAATGTCCACTACACTCAGCTCTCAACTGGTCAGGTGCTAGAGCTCAGTGTGCAAGATATACAGGTATTTGTCATTTTGAAATAAATTCATTTATTCATGGGTTTTCAGTTTTTTTGACTCATAATAGGTTTGAAAAATGTTTAGAGCAGTGGCTGGGATTTTCATTCCTAAATATCACTGGAGTTTCAATGCCATTTTCTGTCCATTATGTAGGTGGACAACCAACTTCTTGGCACCACACAGCCTTTTATGCTCTTTCTGACACCCAGGAGGATTGAGAATGGGCCCCTGGACCCTGCTCCTGCTGTGCAAGTCAATGCCATGAAATTTCCCAGTAAAAATGCACTGACTGATATATACAAGGTAAACCACAATTTTTTGTTTGTGTAACATAGGTATTACTTTGCTTTAATTACCTTTCCTGTTCTTAATTTTTACTTGTAATCTGAATTTGGTGGTTTGTGAAATACACTTTGTTGAATCAATTCTGAAGCTTAAAGGACACAGTGTCCACCTTCTCATGTTCACACTGTTTAAAGCTATAGTGGAGTGATGAACAGGGTAATAAATATGTTTAAAAATGTGACAAATCAGTCCAGACCCCTGTCTGTCCATGTCTGACCTTACTTTTTAAAGCAGTTATTCTCTCTTGAGAACTGCAGCACAGTGAACCAGAATATCTATGTTTTGCTCTTCAAGAGTTGAATACAAGGTTATAAATTCTTGCTTCATAAACCTGGTTCTGTGCACTGCAGTCATTTGGGAACATTGGTTGCAAATTTATCCACCAACTGTGGATAAATATACTGTGATGGCAAAACTGAGTTGGTTGTCAAGACTTACTTTCTCATTTGGAATCTTCACCCATGTCTTTTGACTCTGTTCTGAAAAGCAGCTGATTTTAGTGCTGGAAATGCAGCTAAGATTTTGAAGTGTTAGGATTAGTTAATTAAGCACAAGGCCTTCCAGAAAATTGAAATAATCATCACTAGTTGAAATAATCATCACTAGTAGATGATTTGAAGCAAAGAAAGCTACCAAAGACATTTTGAAGGTGAGAATCTTGCTACAAATCCATAAAAGTGAAAAGATTCCATTGAAATAGAGTCCTTTTTATTAGTTTACATGGATTATGTATCTGGTGTTAATGCTGTAAACTGAGACTTGTTTATCTCTGTAGCATCTGATGATCACTGCCCGAAAATTCACAGTTCAAATTGAGGAGAAGCTGCTTCTGAAGCTGTTGAGTTTCTTTGGCTACGGCCAGTCGGAATCAGGTGTGGTATAACATTGCACAGCCCGGATTTACAATGTACAATATCATGATCTTTGTGTGTAAAGTAGAAAACAGCAGCACACTCTTGGCTGTGAGGAACCTCCCACTCTTGAGCAGAGCTGGAAATGCCTCAGTGGCCCCTGTGAAGCTGCTCATGGTGCTGTGCCTGTGGCAGAGCTCAGGTGATGGCCCAAGCCCAGCCTGTCTCTGTGTCTGCATTCATCTGAACTGGGATAAAAGAAATTGTGTTGTTAATTTAGCAAGCCACTTTGTTTAGTGACTTGTTTAGTTTGTTTGTTTAACCCAGGGCTAGAACTGGGATCTGTGTTAATTTGTTCCTTGGGCAGTTCCTCTTGCTTCACTGCAAGAAAATTTTGTCTGACCTTTGTTGGGGCATCCATACCCCTGGTTTTAATTGTAATGTAAATTTTCTTTCATTCACTGAGGCAAGACAGACCTTTTCAATCTTCTGATCTCATAGGTGCTACTCTAATCCTCCTATTTTAGTGTTTATCTGTGCTTTGGAAACTTTCTGAAATGTTTGTTTTGGAGTGGCAATTGAAAAAGTCACTTCTATTATGCAGTAGCCTGTGTACTGTTACATAATCACTGTCACAGGAAAAGAACTATTTTTGGCATGATTCCAAATGGGGCCAAGCCTACAAATGATGCTCCAGAGTTCTGTCTTGCTAATCCACAGCATCCTCTGAATTGTCTCAGGAAAAATGACACAATTGCATTTCACAGAGGACTTTCAGACTTAACTCAAAATTCGTACTTCTTCCTCATCTGGAGAGATTTTTGCTCTTAGCCTTTCAACTAATCTCCCCTTTGTTCTGATTTACCCTGTTCTTTTGCTCTTTTTTCCTTACTATACATTTTTTGTAGTTTGTCTGCTGATGTTATCCTAGATTCAAACAAAAATAAATTTCTTATTTTTAGTCAGCATGTTTTATTGTCCATAAGTCAGAGTTCATAAGGCTTGGTCATCTTTCATCTTTGCCCTGCTTCCTCACACCACCCAGGTGCTCTTACAAATAACATGAACCTATTAATGTCAACCAAATTTGAGGCACTTTCCATGTAAATTGATTTATTGGATGTCTTCCACGTAGGCATGTTGGATATTTTGTAGTGAATATTTGAAAGCTTGCTTTGTACATTATATTCCTGGTTAACTGTGTAAGGAATTACAGAGAGGGGAAAACAGATTGTAAGAGCACAACTGCACAGTAGGAACATTGCATAATCATGTGTTATCTCCTTGTTTCTCTGTGCTGATAAAGAGAAATTAGAAGTGAGATTAAAAGCTCAAATAACAGGTTTTAGAGATGCAGAGAGATCTGACAAAAATTCTTGAGCCTCAGAGGTCAACTTGGTGTCACAAGGCATGAGTAATTTTGCTGGCTCCACCAGCAGTCACACATACTTTTTATTTGTGCAGAGGATTGTTAACTCTTACCACAGTGTGCATTCCTAACCCCATATTTATTTATCTTTAACTGGTTCTGATTCCTGTGTTTTGTCTGGATGCAGAGGTTGAAAATTACGATGAAAACCTCCATGAGAAGGTTGTTGAACAAGGAGGAGCACAAAAACGATACTACTTTGAAAATCTGAAAATCAGTGTGCCTCAAATCAAGTTGAGTGTCTTCACTTCCAGCAAGCTCCCTTTGGACCTCAAGGTACACCAGTGCATTCCCAGAGTGGATTCCAAGGGGAACAGATGCTTTAACTTAACACTCTCAGTTTCCATTTACTCTTGCATTATCCAAGTTAAAAATAATAAAAGTTCCAGCAACTTCTGACATTGAATTTGCATAATTTCCAGTCTCTTCTGTAATAGTCCTTCATTTTTGTAATTTCAATTGAAGCACAGCCACAGACCTAATGACTCACTGCTTTACAAAGGACCTTAGTTACAATGATGGAAGTGTAAAAGCTTAAAGGGAATTTTCTGTCTTAAAAGAGTTATTCAACTTCTTATACAAATACAGGACAACTCTGAGTGTTTTCATCCAAAAAAATGTTGTTTCATTGGAATTGAAGAATTTGCATGAGGACTGTGCAATATAGTTGAAAATTCAAGTGAACTGAGATTGAGTATGAACTTAAAATCAGTGGGAAGTCTGGTCTTTTTCATATGGTCGTAAATCTGGCTGGGGAGTGAACCAGGGATTCCAGATTATGGCCAGAACATAATCTCACCCAGTGTTCCCAAATTTTGTGTTAGGACCTTCCTGGACACAATCAAGTGGCAGCAGTCATTTGTCATTTCAAAAATGATTAATGTAACATTCAGTTCTGTCTGAGCTAATAAACTACTTCCCTCCAAGGTGGAAGAGTTAAAACCAACCACCCAAACCATAAAAAACCCTCCTGATTGTGGAGGAACTGAGCTGCTGCCTTTAAAAAAATCAAAACTGAGACACCAACTGAGCTTTTCTGTCCTTGATGTTAAGGACATCATGATGAGTAAACTTCTAAAGAAATTTAGTGTTGTGTAATGAATGTCTGTCATGGAGTCTTACCCAGATGATCCAGAAAATCACCAGTCCTACATTGTTGTATTCTTTTTACTGAATCCTTGTGCCAAGGACAGTTCAACAGCTAGTTGGGGTATTCCTTGGCTGAGATATTCCTAGCTAGAATATTCCTTGGCTG